GGAGAAAACTCACTGCTAAATATGACATAAACTTTAGTGTTTTTTTGTAGATACCCTTTATTGGGTCAAGAAAGTTTTCCTCTTTTCCCTCTTTTCCTACTTTGCTGAATATTTATATCATAAAAAAGTATGGGATTTTGTTAAATGTTTTCACCATCTGCTGAGATGATATTTTTGTTTTTCATTCTGTTAATATGGCAAGATATTATAAATGCATTCATTGCTTTTCATATGTTGAAACAACCTTGCATTCCTAGATAAATTCCACTTGGCTATTATATATATTATTTTAAATATTGCTGGATTAACTTTTCTAGTATTCTCTTGAGAATTTTTGATCCCTAATTTGCATGTTTCCATTGACTATACATTAATTTTCTACATTAATTGATTTTGATGTATTAAATTAATTGCATGCATGAAATAAATACCAGTTAATATGTTTGCTGATTTTGATTTTCTTGTGTTGTGATGAGAATGCTCGTGTTTATATTTACAAGTGAAACTAGTTTTCATTTATTGTGAGGTCTTTGTCTGGTTTAAGTATCAGGGCAATACTGATGTCATAGAATGAGTGGCAAATTATTGCTTTTGTTTTGGGGAACAGTTGGGAAAGGATTGTTTACTATTAATTCTTTAAGTTTTTGATAGAATTCAATAGTGAGACATGTAGAGCTGGGTTCATTTGTTTTTTTTTTCTAAGTCTATTCAGATTGTTCTATTTCACACTGATTCAGTGGTTTCTATCTTTTTAGGAACTTCACCACTTCATCTGACTTAACTAAATTTTTGGCTCACAATTATTCATAATTCCCTGTAATCCTTTTCTTTTCTTTTCTTTTCTTTTCTTTTTTTTTTTTTAACATGAAAGATTAATACTCTTTCAATGCCTGGTTTTAGTAATATGAATCCTCTCTTTTTTCTTTTGGTCAGTTGAACTAAAGTTTTATCAATTTTGTTGATTTTTTTTTCCTTTGAGGTAACATTGGCTTATAGCACTGTTTTTGATTCAGAGGTATAGGATTTCCCCATTCAGGTATTCTTACCCTTCCACATCCACCATCAAAACACCATAGTCCTCCATCTTAAAACATTATGCTCCCTGGGCCCTCCCTGGTGGCGCAGCGGGCTAAAGCACAGCACTAAGAAGCTTAAGCCACTTCCGCATGAGTTCGATTCCTGCCTGCCCTGGAGGAGATCCACATGGCGAGGCAGACCTCTCCTGACCCGCCCGCTGCTCCCCTCAGCAGTGTACTTCATTAATCTGCCTGTTCTGCTCCCCACTCTGTCTCTGGTGAATCCTCTCACCCTCCGCATCTCTGGCCTGTACCCCAGTTCTGTATGAATAAATAAATCTTTAAAAAAAAAAAAACAAAAACATTATGCTCCCTCCACACTTAGTTCTCACCCCTCTGGTAGCCTCAGTTCTATGGTCAGATTTCCAGGGTTTGGTTTTATCTGACTCTTTGTTAGGTTTCTCTGTATTTCACATACAGGTGACATTACTTGGCTTTTGTTTTTCTCTGTCTGACATATTTTTTGCTTAGCATAGTCTGTTGCAGCTCCAACTATGTTATCACAGTTAGCAAGGGTTTTGTTTTGTTTTTTTTTGATGAGTAATATTTCATTGTGTATTTACACCATGTCTTTCTAATTACTCATTTGTTTAGGGGTATTAGGTTGTTTCCACAACTTGGCTATTGTATATAAGGCTACAATGAACATAGGAGTTGTAATCCCCTTAAAATTAGTGTTTTTGTATTCTTTGGGTGGGCACCTTGGCGTGGAATTGCTGGGTCATATGGTAGATACATTTTCGATATTTTGAGAAGTCTTCTTACTATTTTCCTTAAATATTGGACCAGTCTACATTTCATTTCATTACACTAATAGTATAAGAAGGTTCCTTTTTCTTGGTATCTTTGCATACTTGTTTCTGAACTTTTTATTTATTTTTAAAGATTTTTTTTTGAAAATTTGGTTTTCTTTATTTTTTTTATAAGTTTATTTTTACATCATTTTGTACATTTTTTTTCCATCTCAATTGTAATCCCCGCCGGTTTCCCATCACCAAGTCACCCGTGTGCCATCACCATAATCCCGTGCACTTCCCTCCATACCCCCCCATTTTTGATCCCATTCCCACTCCACCCTCACAAAATGTCTGATATATGGCTATTCATTACTGTTATTTTCTCATCTGGTCCATTATACGCCTGCTATGAGTGAAGCCATCCGGTATTTTTCTTTCTCTTTCTGGCTTATCTTACTAAGCGTGATCTTTTCCAGATCCATCCAAGTTGCTGCGAAAGACATGTGTTTCTCTTTTTTGGTTGCTGAGTAATATTCCATCGTGTATATGTACTACATCTTTTTAATCTGATTCTGGACTTTTTTTTTTTTTTTTTTTTAAAGATTTATTTATTTGTGCATACAGATCTGGGGTACAGGCTAGAGGCTCAGGGGCAGCGAGAGGCTTCACCAGAGACAGAGTGGGGAGCAGAACAGGCAGATCGAGGAAGTACACTGCTGAGGGGAGCAGCGGGCGGGTCAGGAGAGGTCTGCCGCGCCATGTGGTCACCTCTGGGGCAGGCGGGGATCAAACTCATGCGGAAGCGGCTTTAGCTTCTCAGTGCAGTGCTTTAACCCGCTGCGCCACCAGGGAGGGCCTGATTCTGGACTTTTTATCATGGGACATTCTCATAGTTGTGAGGTGGTATCACATTGTGGTTTTGATTTGCATTTCCCTAACAATAAGTGGTAATGGGCTCTATTTTTAGATGCCTGTTCTTTTGTATGTCTTCTTGTATTGTCTCCTTGCCTATTTAGCTCTTCTGCCCGTTTTTTAAATGGGATTCATTGCTTTCTTTTTGTTGATTATATGAGTTCTTTTAGATCTTGGATATAAGCCCCTCCTCAGTAGATGTTCTGTAAATATTTTCTCCCATGTACTATGGCATCTTTTTGTTTTCATGACAGTTTCTTTTACTGTGCAAAGCTTTTTAGTTTGATATAGTCTTTTTTGTTTATTTTCTTTTATTTTTTCCTTGTTGTGTTAGAGACAAATCCACAAAGGCATCTCAGAAGCCTGTGTTTTGAAGTAACTTTGCCTGTGATTTCTTCTATGTATTTTATGGTTCTAGGTTTACATCCAAGAAAGAACAAGTAAAGGTATCATTATTTTCAGATGACATGATAATATACATAGAAAACCCTAAAGGCTACATTAAGAAACTAATTGAAACAATGAATCAGTTCAGCAAAGTGGTGGGTTACAAAATCAGTGTACAAAAATGCATTGCTCTGTGCCAACAGTGAGCTAGAAGTGGGAGAAATAAAGAAAACAATTACATTTGCAGTTGTGTCAAAAAGGAATTAAATACCTAGGAGTAAATTCAACAAAGGAAGTAAAGGACCTATATACTATGAAAACTTTAAGACATTGCTAAAAGAAATAGAAGATACGAAGAAATGGAAAGATATTCCTTGCTTATGGATTAGAAGATTTAACATTGTCATAATGGCCATTTTACCCAAAACATACAGATTCAGTGCTTTATCAAACTTCCAATGACATCCTTCAAAGATACAGAACAAACATTACTGAAATTCATATGGGAGCACCAAAAAAAAAAAAAAAAAATCCTGAATAGTCAAAGCAATCTTGGCAAAACAGAGGAAAAGTGATGCTGTCGAAATTCTGGACTTTCACATTTTGTTGATCTTTTGAAAGAACCAGCCTTGTGTTTGCTGACTTTCAAATATTTTCATTTTTTCTGTTTCATTTAATTTTTGCTTTAATATGTATGATGTACATTCTTCTGCTTATTTCAGTTTAATTTCCTCAGCTGTGGCCTGACTATAGATAGGAGGCATCCAGGAGAGAAGCTGAGGACAGGAGTGGGGGGACTACAATGGAGGGTGGGAGAGAGCACAAGGGAATATGATGATGGACCATGGGAGCTTTGGTGGTTGGAGAACAGGATGACCACAACTGAGGGAAGTAATCCTATATTGTGGAAAAATTAGCAACAATGTAAAAAAAAGTACATTAAAATTTTTAAATAAATTAATTTTAAAATCATGACAGCTACAGTGTTACACATAATTTCTTCTATCCTGTATCAAAAGAAGCATTTTTTCTTTTAATTAGTTTTATAATATATGTGTTTCTATGCACAAATGCACATACAATAAAAAATAAAAATCAGCTCAGTATTTTGTAACAAAGTTATCAGTAATTACTTCGCTTCTAAGTAAAGTAAAAGATTTTTAATTTTGGAAGAAGCTAAGTGAAAATAGATGAAATGGTATAACTAGGTTGATTTGCTTTAGAGTAGCCAAAGCAAATGTCCTCTGTTTTCCTTTGCTTCACATTTTTCATAATCAAAAGTACAGTAAAGAAACTCAATGTAAATGAATAGAGATATAACTTTATTTCAAAATATTAGATATCTATTGAGTAAACACTCATAAGGAACTTTCATGGTGTAGTTAGTGTAAGACAATCAGGAAGTTAGTCTAATAGGGTGTGAGAGTGTGTGTGTGTGTGTGTGCGCATGTGTTCATGTTCACACAGGCATAGGAAAGAAACACTGGTATGAAATACATTACAGTATCAACTGTGGCTATCTTTGGAGGGATTGTGGTGATTTTCATTTTCTATGTCTTCCAAGGTGTTTCTACAGTGAACAAAAGAAAAACATGTTTCTGAAAAAATTTTTTAAAGAAATTATGCATTGTGTAATTTGGTGAAGTACTTGCTGCAGGTATCTGTTTTCCATTCAGTTGTTCTGTCAGCAACTAGATAAAGGGGGGTGTAGTTACTAATCTTAAACAGTAGACATGTTTTTGGCATATACTGGCCTGTACTCTGCCCTCAAATGTGTCTTTGCTGGTTGTGTGCAAGCAAAGTACTGGGCAAAATATACTCATCATTTCATTCATTGTCAACTTCTACTAGACATAATTTTTTAATATGAACTTTCTTCTGATTTTAGTGAGTTGGCCATGATTTCCACAAGAGTGATGGACATTAAGCTTCGGGAGGCCGCAGAAGGCCTTGGAGAAGACAGCACAGGTAAGATCCTCACTTTCCCACCCCTGGGATGAACCCTTGTTGGGCTTGGGGCAGAGGGACTGATGAAGCCAGGCCTTTGGGGTTCTCTGTGTGGAGACTGAGTGCACAGCATGATTAGAAATCCCCAGACTCTTACAATGTGGAGGCCACATCCTGGTTAGTTCAGCCACCTATTGATAGGGGGGTGAGGGTGGGTTTTCAAGTCATATACCTCATTCCTGGAGGTAAATATGTCCCCTTGCTTGGCTGACTTGAAAACAAAGGAAGAGGGGTTCAATAGGATCCTTTATCACCTAAGAACATCCGCAGGTATCAGTAGGAAGCTAGGCAAAACATAGGAGTGCCTAATCACCCAGAAGAAATACTATTGACAGAAACTTTGAGCCTTCTTTTTAATGACTTCTATACTCTTTAGACCCATGAATCATCATCTTATAACACGTTTCAGGATTTACTCAGTTATGTGATTGGTCTACTGTTATTCACTTATTGCTGTTTATCTCTTGATTGAATCATAAAATTGACATTAAAAGGCCTTAACTTCCTTTTCCCTAGTTTATAGCCATCTAGGGATATAACAGAGGTCTTGCTTAAGGTCAAAATGTTAATAGTGATTTTCTTTGCTATAAATCCTAGCTGCCAATCATTTGCTTTAAATACTAAGATATTTAGAGATTCATTTCATATCTTACAGATTTTTGTTACTATTCCATATTAGAATTACTTTTCTTCTGTCATATATTATAGATAGATTTTCTTATTATTACATATTAGAATTACTTTTTCTCTGTCACATGTCAATAGATACCTAATATACACAAATTGAGGTGTTTTTTTTTTTAATTGAATCTGACTTTCAAAATTTCTCAGATTATGGACCACTGAAATGCTATTTATTTTAAGGAAGATTATAGTTTTTGGAGTTGTATTTGATTAACCTGATACCTCAGTAGATGCTAGTTTGGAATACCATGAACACCCATTTTTTAAAAAAATAATATAATAGTTTATTTTTACATCATTTTGTGCATTTTTCCATCTCAGTTGTAATCCCCTTGGGCTTCCCATCACCAAATCACCCTGTGCCATCACCATAGTTCAGTGCATTTCCCTCCCCCCACTGTTTTTGATCCCATTCCCCACTCCACCCCCATGAAACGTCTCTGGTATATGGCTGGTCTATTATACTCCTGCTACGAGTGAAACCATCAGTATTTTGCCTTTCCATTCTGGCTTATTTCACTAAGCATGATCTTTTCCAGCTGCAAAAGGCATGCGTTTATTTATTTATTTATTTATTTTTGGTTCTGAGTAATATTCCATTGTGTATACGTACCACATCTTTTTAATCCAGTCATCCACTTTTGGGCTTTGGACTGTTTCCTTGTCTTTCCAATTGTAAATAAAGCAAATAAACTTAGGGATGCAGGCATCTTTTTGAATCAGTATTTTTGTGTCTTTTGGGTAGATACGTAGGAGTGGGAATGCTGGGTCATATGGAAGCTCCATGTTTAGCAGTTCAAGGAAACTCCAAACATTTTTCATAGTGGTTGTACTAGTTTGCATTCCCACCAGTAGTGCAGAAGAGTTCCTTTTTCTCTACATCTGCGCCAGCATTTGTCGTTGCTAGTTGTTTAAAGATGTGCCATTCTCACTGGTGTGAGGTGGTATGTCATTGTGGTTTTAATTTGCATCTCCCTTATTACAAGTACATAATGTTGAACATTTTTTATATGCTTGTTGGCCATCTGCATTTCCTCTTTGGAGAATTGTCTTTTTAGCTCTTCTGCCCATTTTTTGATGGGGTTGTAAAAACCCAATTTTTGAAAAGACAGAAACTTTAAATATTCTTCCCACCCAGTAGTAGTGAGTTAAGTTATTCAGACTAACCACTTTGCATTTAAAATTTTAAATTCTAGATAAGAACATTTAAAAAAAATTAAGTATAAAAATGATGAAGCCAGAATTGAAAGAAAAATTATAAAACCCAGAGAGATCAGTGAGCAGGAATCCACTTTTGCCCTCAGATCATTTATCAATCTTGGAATCTTTGAATGGGTGGTAAAAGAGAAGGTCAAATATAAAATATAGGGCATGTATCAAAATGCAGGGTCTTCTCATATAACCAACAAGGCAGAGGCTCAAGAATCTTTCTAAATAATGAACTCTCTTTTAGAACCACCCATTAACAAAATAATCATTTTGTGACTATAAAGGTAAGGCAACATCTACTAGAAGCTAAGAAAATGTTATTGTAGAATTTATTTCTCTTTGGGCAGGGATTTATTCCACATAAGGTAATATATGACTTCCTACTAGAGTAATAACTTAATATTAGTAGTTCTTCACATTGAGGCAAGATCATGTAAACTCCTCTGGAGGATATTATTATAAGCCAAATATAAATATTGTGGGTTTTTAGAAATGCATCTTACCAAATAATTTACTTATAAAACATACAAATTGACTTCACCAATTTATATATAGTCTCTGGCTGTATGGGCATCATGTAACTATGATGTTGCATTCTATTTTTAGTTTTTGTAAATATTCAGAGGAAAGGAATGAACTTAGCTGAACTGCTAAAGTGAAATCACAGGATTCTTGATATTCAGAATTTGTGAGTGAGAATGAAGAAGACACCAGGGAAGAAGTCACAAAAAGTTTAACAGTGTAAATTCTAATGATCCAGAAGCTTGGCAGTCAGCCTTGGTACTGATATCTCTCCCTAAAGCAGCTCTTCATAGCTTTTGGTACCCCAGGGAGCCCCTCTTGCTCATGAAGCCAGAGCTCTCTGATTATTGTTGGTGCTCCTGTCCATGCTGAACGAAGTATTTGAGAATTATTTTGAATAATAATTTGAGTTATCACATGGTCTTTATCCTATCAGGTTATTTTGCTTTGACTGTGAATATTTTAGAAATTGAAACTGGATTCAAGTAAAGGAAAATTTACTTGTGCTTTGATCTTGTCACCAGGCTTCAAAGATTTCTTGGCCCTTTTATTAGAATCTCAAAATAAACAAGATTTTTTTCAGGTGGGCCAAATGGCTTGCCATTTATTTATGTATTTCTGTGTGGTAGAGAATCTTTTCTAGAGAGAATAGTAGTGCATAGATAGACACCTCGCTTTCTCTCCTTCACATGTACATGACATATTGGTAAAGACTCTCATGCATTCTTTCTGCATAGGAAAGAAAAAATCCAAGTTCAAAACGTTTAAGAAGTTCTTCGGGAAGAAGAAGAGAAAGGAGTCACCCTCGTCCACAGGAAGTAGCACCTGGAAACAAAGTCAGGCGAAGAGCGAGGTCATCCCCATCGAGGCTGGGCCAGTGGGCTACGACTCAGAGGATGAGCTGGAGTAAGTGGCCTTTGACCCCTGCAGTCCACACGCCTGTGAGCAGGAGGCATAGCATACTCAGGATTCTCATCATGGCCTCTTGCTAGATTTCTGAGCCTTCTTTCCTCCTGGCTAACTCCACTGGAGTTTCCTCCACAGAAGTTGTGTCTTTTCATACATAGAGATGGAAAAAGTTGGAACAAAAACATTATTGGTGATTGCTGTAGACTAGGTGCTATTTATATTAAAAGTCCACAAAGACTGTGAAAGAGGAGGTACAATATACCATTTTGTAGGAGAGCAAACCAAGTTTTAGAGAAATTTTGGAGAACTTGTTTGGTGCCCCATAGCTGAAAGTGGCATGATATTAACCCTGATTTAATTTGAATTAAAATTCTTTGAGGACCTTGGTACTATCCCTAAAAATAAAAGTCTCTCTAAGCTTGACCTTTGAGTAATCTAATGAGGACATTTTAGAGACCTAGAGTGGGTATGGAGGAAGACTTCTTGCTGTTTGGTCTTAGGGGGAAAATCATCCAAAAATACGATTAGAGAGAACAGACACAATCGGTGTTAAAATTGGGGGAAGTCTAGTGGGGAATTTGCCTCATTTATTCAACAGTTACTTCTGTGAATAAAGGAATTTATTGCCATGCCAACTTTTATATTTAACAACAGTGCTTAATTTGAGGAAATAGCTGTGGAGGCTCACCCTCCCAGTGATGTGACCGTCCCTCCCTCCTCATCAGCACATTGCTTGTCTTTAATGGAGTAGAAATTACACTGAACACTTGGTGGCACCAAACGACTAAGGAGGAAAGATCTGAGATTTTTCTTTCAGGGTTTTTTTTTTTTTGGTGCTAACAGGAACCACAGTGCCTCTTGTAAATACAGAGAGGACACAGATTGTACACCCATTTTAAAGGCAGCTTGCTCCACACTCAGGGAGTAAACCGTTATGTGTTTGTTTTTTTTTAAAGATTTTTTTATTTATGCATACAGAACTGGGGTACAGACCAGAGATGCGGAGGGTGAGAGGCTTCACCAGAGACAGAGTGGAGAACAGAACAGGCAGATCGACGAAGTACACTGCTGAGGGGAGCAGCGGGCAGGTCAGGAGAGGTCTGCCACGCCATTTGGTCACCTCCGGGGCAGGCGGGAATCGAACTCATGCAGAAGGGGCTTAAGCTTCTTAGTGCAGTGCTTTAACCCCTGCGCCACCAGGGAGGGCCGCGTTATGTGTTTTATTGCTTATTGTTAAATGTCTTTCCTGGGGGGAAATTAAAATGCTCACGCCCTACCTTCCCATCTCGAGCAGAACCCACAGTGGCCCCACAGACAATGTCCAGAGTAGGAGAACAGCAGCAGGGAAGCAGGGTGAAGTCTTGTCTAGTGGCCATTTTGTCTCCCAACAAAACCCATGCAAATGGGGACAGTATCCTTTTCATCTCTGTATTCCCAGTACCTGGCAGGGCTCTGATCCTTAATTACTGGTAAAATTCTAGTTGATGCTAGGAAAGGAAGCTTGGGTTGGGGTATGAAGCCTGGGAAGTGCAAATAGCTTTTTTTTTTTTTTAGAAAACAACACAGAGAATGGTTCATTTCAGCCAGTATATTTTTGACCTAATAATTTCAAAAACTCATTGCCAAGACTGATATCCAGGAACTTATAGGAATAAGGTATTCTTCTAGAAGTTTCTTATATTCAAATCTTTAATCCACTTTGATTTTTGTATATGATAATTATTGTCCAGTATCACTCTTTCACATGTGGCTGCCCCATTCTCCCCACACTGTTCATTGAAGAGACGATCCTTCCCCGATTGTATAGTCTTGCTTCTTTATTATAAATTAATTAACTTGAGGCCCTCCCTGATGGCGCAGTGGGTTAAAGCACTGCACAAAGAAGCTAAAGCCACTTCCGCATGAGTTCCATTCCCGCCTGCCCCGGAGGTGACCACATGGCGTGGCAGACCTCTCCTGACCCTCCCGCTGCTCCCCTCAGCAGTGTACTTCGTCGATCTGCCTGTTCTGTTCCCCACTCTGTCTCTGGTGAAGCCTCTCGCTGCCCCTGAGCCTCTGGCCTGTACCCCAGTTCTGTATGCACAAATAAATAAATCTTTAAAAAAAATTAATTGATTTTAAAGGAGACAAGATCTTTTCTTTCCTAATTATTTTTTACGTCATTCTTCATTTTATGCATTTTTTCATCCCAGTTGTAATCCCCATGGACCACCAATTCACCCATGTGCCATAACCATAGTCCCATGCACTCTTCCCTTATTACAAGTGATGTTGAACACATTTTCATATGCCTGATGGCCTTCTGCATTTCCTCTTTGGAGAATTGTCTCTTTAGCTCTTCTGCCCATTTTTTGATAGAGTCGTTCACTTTATTTTGTTGAGTTTAATCAGCTCTTTGTACATCTTTGTGATCAGTCCTTTGTTATTAGTATTGTACCCCCAAGTTTTCTCCCAATCAGTGGGGTGTCTCTTGTTTTGTGTAATGAGGAGACAAGATCTTAAAAACACTCTTCCAGAGTTTCTACATCTTCCAGTCCATATACAGTTTTTCAGGCATTACCATGAAAAGAGTGTTCTGTTTGCCAAGGCATTTTAGTTTTAGCTAACAACATGGGAACTTGTTTAAAAAGTTGACACCACCTGTTAGGTATGTGCAGCTATGTTCAAGTTTCTTATCTGTAACAATTTGCCCTTTCCCCTCCTCATTTCATGTCATTGATCTGATAGAGGAACAGGATATCTCCTGAAAAATGTCCTAATTTTGTACTTGCTTTCCCTTCATATGCTTAAATCCTTTCCTTTACTCTCTGAATTTCTTGTAAATTATTGGGTGAATCTAGAAACTTAATTAAATTTAGTTTCAGGATGGTGATGGGCATGGTCACATGGTATCATAATGCACAGACTTTCTGGTTGCCTCACTTCTAGTAATAGTAAGCTGAGTAGTGGGTTCAGGGGCATTTATACCCATACATGATTATTGACTAGATTTATTATTTCATTGGAAAATGGTGGTTTTTCTAATTCCACCATTCATTTTGCGTGTGTTGGCTGGGATTCTTCTGTGAAGAACTTCCCTTCATGAACATTTTGGTTGCTTTGAAGTTAGTTTGTATGTGAAAGGCAGGATCATGCATGGATCTCCTTTTATTGATCTTCTTTCACAATAATCCCCTAGTACCCTAACAATTTCCTACAGTGACCAATGAATTTTGTTTTCTCTTTTCTTTTCCCATAAATATAATTGTGAATGCATGGATTCTGATTTGCTTTAACCCACTTATTGTTATGCTGACATTGTCCCATTTTATGCTATTGGAAGTAACTTCAGAATAGCTTCTGGGTTCTTTTGACTTGGTCCCATTTGTCTTTGAAAGCTTCTTTGCTTTCTTGCAGAATGAGAAACCCTTGGTTAATTTCTACATTCCTTGCCCCAGGCCAGTAACCAGCCATTTCTTCATAGGACCCTGATTCCTTTTAGTTTGAGATGGTTTTTAGAGACCACAATCTGTCTGCCAGAGGTGATGATTACTTGTTGGCTGTTGTGGCTCTTAGGCCTTTCCAATACTTCTAGCTAGTAAATACATTTTATTTTTGAAGAGAAAATAAATCATTAGTTTACTGGTATTTCTATGTTTAATAAGAAGCAGCTTTACTTCTGTGATTCTTTGCTAAAATTAATTTTTCTCTTACACTGGAAATTTTGGTTCCTAATGATATTAACAAAGTTACTTACTTTCTTCACCATATAATATACTTACAACAATTTCATTACTCCCGTCTCCTACACAGAGATTGCATATTATAAACATTGTCTGCACTGTTTAGTGCATTAACACTGCTACTAATAAAACTAACAAGTATAATTTAATATCTGTCATTTTGTCAATTACTACTAATAAGATACAACTTTTTTTCTTAGGACTTATGGATATAGAGTCAAAAGTCATTTAGAAGTCATGTTAAAATTAATTGAAAGCATACTTCTGTGTGTTTATGGCGATAGTCTGATAGAAATTTAGGCACGTTTGTTTCTGCTTTCTAGTTTTAGAGCTTATTTAATGTCCCTTTTTACTTGATTTTGTCTTTTAACTACATAAAGCATCTACATGACTTTAAAGACAAAATTGTAAATGTAAGTAGCTTGACTCCATCTCCCCGTCTTACTCTGGCCTTCTCCTGAAGGGAAACCATTTTTCATTCCTTTGCTGCTGATTCTTCTGTTGCCATCTTTAAAAAGAAAAGCAAATGCCCATATTCACTCACATATGTTCAGATGTATCTAAGCCTCACCTCCTCAACAGAACTGACCACACCTTACGCATTATTTTGCAAGTGTTCCTTTATTTTTACTTCTTCTGGGGCTGTCTGCATACAATTTAAAGAGATCCTCTTACTCATTCATTAGTTGCACAGTCTCTGTCACATTATGGAACCCACTGAAGGACATTGGATTGTTTCCACTCTTTTGTTTCTATGATATAGAGTGAATGACTCCATATGTCATAAGACATCATGTCTTTGTCAGTGTATTTTTGCAGCAGCCCTTTCATGGACTCTCGACGACAGTGCAAGTGTTTGGGCAGTGGTTATGGCTTACAAAGGGTGTGGCCGTGAGCTGCCTACTGTGAGAGGAGTGCATGTGGTCATAGTGACAATAACTGCGATGGACAGGGAGGCTTGCCTCATTCTTTCACTTGGTTTTACTACCTCCCAGGAGTGTCAAGACATACTCACCTAGCTGTGGGTTCTCCACTTAATATTGCAGACTAGAAGAAATTGAATGAAAAAGAAGCATCACTAACCAACACAATTTGATGTTCAGTAGTGCAGAGCCACACCTTAAGTATCCCAAATGCCCTTCAGTGGACCGGATGTCCGGGCAGGGTGGGTGTGGGGGGTTGTGGTAAGCAAAATGTCCAGTGTCTGTGGGGGCAGACTTTCCTTCCTTCATCATCAGGTCTCCATCATCTCCTTCCACCTATTGTTCTGGCAGCTACCACTGTTAGGAAAATCTGACTGCTGACTTTAACATCCTCTTTGGACTTTGTGACTGTACTGTGGGTTCAGTTGCAAATTGGAGACTTGAGCTTGGAGCTGGGGAAGGTGTTGGGACAGTGATGATAGGAGTTTCCATCAACACTGTAGGTAGGCCCTAGCAAAACACAGGATAGGTTGCACAGATCATATGAGGTAATGAAGAGGGTGTGGCTTTGAAGAGTTATAATTCGTATTTCAAATCCAGCCTTAGATGTATGTTTTGGACTGCCTTGTGAGGATGCCTCTGGCAGGCAGGCTGGCTCCAAGCCTGCTGTGCAAACACAGCCTCCAGTGCTCTGAAGGGCTGCGTGTCTATGCAAAAGGAATGATTTCACTCTCCCCAGGCAACGGCCCTGCCAGCCAGCAAAGACCCCACTCACTGGCCAACACCAGGCCCACCTTTCCTTTCTACAGGCTGTTGTCTTAGATCTCACACCTCATCAAACCTTGATTTTTCCACTAATAAATAGGGTTGACACAACCTTCTTATGTATTCAGAAAATTCCTACTTCAACGATATTTCAAAGAGTTGACTATGATACTTGACTGGATGGGAATGCACCGAAGTTAGGAGTAATTAAAAATAAGGGTTCATTGTCAGATGTATCATTAAAGCACCTCCCTTTCCCGTTCACTTGAGCACCCTGGGTGAGAGATGGAGGTGAGCCGAGTTTCACAGTGCCTCTTTTGTCCTAGGGAGTCCAGGGGCACACTGGGCAGCCGGGCCCTTTCACATGACAGCATTTTTATCCCAGAGTCTGGACAAGACCCGGCTCGACCTGTGCGGGTGTTTTCCCAGGAAAATGTGTGTGACCGCATTAAAGCTCTGCAGGTAGGTTTTCCTGGGCGGCATCACTTGGTATGTAGTCAAATATAAATCAAGAGGCTTTGAAATAATTCTTCCTGCTTTATTTGATATATTTACTCTTTTAAAGTATCATTACATCTGTTTCATTACCAAGTTAGTTCCAAGTGGACCTTGACTTGTTCTTAGAACCACTCATTTCCAATATGACAGTCAGGGGGCTGGAGGCTCTTTAGCCCTCTGCACCAGACAGGAGTGTGGAAAATATCTCTGGAATGAATGAATTAGAGCAGGGATAGTGGTTGGTAAACGTCGCCAATGAAGCAGCAATTGTTCTTGATTCCATTCTAGTTAAAAATACAGTGTAACGTGAAGATGGGACCACCACCTCCCCCAGGGAGTCTTCCTGCCAAGCGGGGCGATGACGCCGGCATGAGCTCTGAGGATGACGGGCTGCCCAGGAGCCCCCCTGAGATGTCTCTACTGCATGATGTTGGTGCTGGCACCACCATAAAGGCAAGTGTGATCTGCTCCATCCATGCCCACCAGAGGGCAGCAGGGGCCTTGGGGCCCGCTGCCTTCCCCTGAGATTCCTGTGTGGACTTGGAGTGCCCCATGTAGCCAGGTCAGTGGGGCTACAGTCAGTCCTTGCGATGTTTTCATTTTCAAAGAATTCTTTTTAGGAGATAGGGTTTTGGGTGACATTTTTCATGTAGTTCTAGGTCTGATACAGTCAACCCTGTAGCTGGTTTTTCCTGTCCAAGCAGTTGACCAAACTGGTCATCCAGTTTTGAAAGAGGGAAAAACCTTTGCGTCTCTTTTCTGTTGTCATAACACTTGACTGGAGGCAGAAGAGAATGACAAACGTATTTTGCTCCTATGTTTGACTTTAGGATTATGGGACTTGTTGGTTGGAGCATGGTGCTGGTAAACAGGGCAGCAAGGAAAGTTTGACAAGCAGGAGACGTGTTTATGACCTCAGCAGGGCCTGGGAACTGAGCCCAGCATCCGCCCCCTTCCCCATGAGAATCCACAGGGCAACTGAAAGCTTTCTCATGTCTAAACAGCGTGGTTCATGGAGCTGCCGTATTAAGTCCACTCAAAGTATTTGTACACAAATGATCGTTTCTCCTTGTAGACAGACCTTGCTGTGGCAGGGGTGTGCAGTTGGAGTTTTCTGTGTTCTCATACAACCAACCCTGTAGTTGATTTTTCCTGTCCTAGCAGATGATCAGACTGGGCATCCAGTTTGTTTTTCTTTAATATACTTATTTATGCATACAGGCCAGAGGTGCGGGGGCAGTGAGAGGATTCACCAGGGACAGAGCAGGGAGCAGAACAGGCAGATTGACGAAGTACCCTGCTAAGGGCAGCAGTGGGCAGGTCAGGAAAGATCTGCCACGCCATGTGGGTCACCTCCAGGGCCAGGGATCCAAGTCACACTGAAGCAGCCGTGGCTGGCTTGCAGTACTGTATCCTTACTCAGTTGCACCACCAGGGAGGGCCGGGGCATCCAGTTTTAAAAGAGGAAAATACCCTTGTGTTTCTAGGTTGGTTCTAGAAAACCAGCAAGAAAAAATAAAAGAGTTCACTTTCTATGGCTACAAACATGCCTGTGTGACCTTGGAGCAGTCATTTCCACCCTGGTAGAGGGCATTCACAGTGGAATCTAAGGGCTTACAATATGAATCACTGTCTTGCAGATTCTGTATGACTTGAGACAGATGCAGTAGCCACTTTAACCTGGACTTCCAGAAACAACCTACAAAGGCAGAGAAAAGATATCTGCCTAGTATTACCTCATTTGTGCAGCTGTGGCTACCCAGAAGTTCACTAATGTAAAGCAGACAGATTTTTTATATGATTGTCAGGAAGCCACAGATTTGGGGTTCACACAGAGGTGGCTTGAGGGTGAGCCCTGTGTGCTCTTAGAGCAGGGCCTGAGGAGTGTGGACTATCCATACCTGCTTTTCCAGCTCAAAGGCAAAGAAGAAAGCCCAGAGGGGAACTTTTGACCTGGATCCTGGATTCAGTGCTAACCTTACACCTATTAACACCTTAAAATACCAGAGGGGACAGTTTTCAGACTTGCAGCTCCCTACGGTGTAATTATCATGTAACAGACATGTCTTTGGGTCCTTATATATATAGTGCCAGTGTCCCCTGCCTCGGCCCTATGGTGGGGATATGGCTGCCACAGGGCCACCCGAGTTCCTCATTCCACCCTGTTTCTTTGATGCCTACATCATCTTTTTTAGCTGTGTTAGGCAGGTAGTTCGTTAAGTTGCCTCCTCACATGATAGTTAAGTAGTGAGACCACCCTCAATCCCACAAAGCACCACGATAGACAAATTCCACAGTCTGTGAGCCATTCATACTCACATTGGGCAGGACTATCCTCATCCTTCTAAATGCCATTTCTATGGCTGTTATATTGTTTAAAAAACATTCTAGGATATCACCAATTGTGAATAATGCACTAGCTTCATAGGAAGCCAAAATTTGAGCCTTAAAGGCTTAAAAAAAAAAAAAAAGAGCATATAACCTTTGGCTTGGAAATCACAATGGTTATGTTTTGTACCCTGGATTTTTTTTTTTTTTTGGGCAGTCAGTCAACTGAGAGGGACTTAAAATGTGTTTATATTACATAAGGCATTTGATATAATGGTGCCTTAAATTTAAATGCCTTCAAGCTGTATTTATGGACTTTTTAACCTTTTTCCTGTTGGGATACCTGTTTGGTCTCACAGGCTTGACAGAAACGTAATGAAGATGAGTGCACAAAAAGGTCTTCAGATTTAAGTGTTTGATGAATTCCACCTAAGTGATGTTCGCTGGTAGAGTAAATACTTCAGGAACTACATGAAATTTATTTTTTAATTTCACTATCATGTGAGGGAGCAACTTATAAAACTTCACTTGATGACTTTGCAGGTAAAATTGCATGACTGGTCATATTCCAGGTTTCCTACCCTTTCGTAGAACACACAAAATAGAGGACAGCAAACTGGCAAAGGTGGGCCAAGGTGGAGATGGGTTCCATCACCTCTGGCAATCTGCATTCAGAAGGTTTTCGAGGAGATTAAATGAGACAAAGAAAGACGAAACTCCCCTTCTTTCATAAGGAAGGACAATACCTGTGGTGGCTTCTCTTCCTTGCTGGGCATCTGTTGGCTCTTGCCATGTGTCATGCCCCGGTGCACCTGTCAGCAGCTGAACCCTTCTCTTTGAAGACAAACATTGTAAAACAGCTGTCACCCAGGGTCACCCCAAAGAAATCCTCTGAATCCCAAGCTGCCTCCTCAGGACCCTTGAGTCACATTCCCCCAACAAAGTGCTGCATATTGTATTTCAAAGCATCCACTTCCAGAATCATCCAGAAGCACACATTTCAGGAAGAATTGGGAGCAAGCAATGCAAAGATGGATGCTCCTCATGCCGCCGACCTGCCAACGAAAATGCAGGGCATCTTTTCTGCTTCTTCCTCCCCACAAGCCCCATCCCACCTCCTGTTGTTGCTTAATTGATCAAATTAACTGTGAGTCTTCTTGTTCCTGAAGATCCTGGTCTTTTCAGCTCCTCCAAGAACTATGAGGTTGACAGAGTGAACCGTGGGGCTTCAGTTCCCTGGAAGGAAGATCAGCTGTGACAGCTGGCATGGGGGCTGCCTGGGGGCAGAGCTTCTGGTTCAGAACTTCAGGGTGTTAAGCTCCATGCCAAGGTTTTCATCCAGGGGGCCAGAGTGGGCTGTAGACCAGGACTGTCTGCCCAAGCAGTGAAGACGTAGGGCAGCCCAAATGGGAAGAGGGCAGACACAAAAGTGTGTCTTTGGGCTTTGGACCGGGCTGGTAATAATCAAAGACCTGTGTTGTCACAGGCTAAGTCATTATTCTGGTTCATAGAGTCCCTGCAATTACAAAGCAGCTCATCTTGTCTATTTCCTTGGGTTGCAGAAGATAATAAAGAAGGGGAGGGGAGAAGAAAGTAAGTCTTACAAGAAGGATTCTGTTTGATTTTGAAACATGGCTATGCTACTTGTGACCTTTAAGGAGGGTGCTTGGGAAAGTGATGACTGTCTGGTTTAAGGTGACTTCCTGAGGTTATGAGCCATAGTCGTGGAAGCCAAAGCCACAGCACTGAGGAAGTTCTGGCCAAGCCCCTTAGATTTATTTATTTTTTTTAATATTTTATTCCCGTAAGAACTTGAGCAGGTAAAATAAGAGAGCTACAATAGATTTTGCTCTAACCCTTTACCCCTTGTTTCAATAGTTGTCCTCTCCTGGTTGACAGGAGTAAATTTATGCTTCCCCCAGCATAAAAAACCTTTGTGCTCACAGGACAAATAAGTTCTTCTCTGAAGTAGTTTGCTTGCTTAGTCCCTGCGTCACAGCTGACTCTCCAGCAGCGTCATCTTTCTGGCTCAACCTCTAGTTTAGGGGAACCAGGGGGCATCTGATCTGTGTAGGGCACCAGAGGTGTGTTGATGCCCTAGGAGCCTGCTTGTTCTCTGTGTCTTCCTCACTGCCTCTTTCTGAGGAGACTGTTTTTATGATGGCTTAGGAAATCATGGTGATGTGGATAACATTATGGTCGTAAGTTAAAACACAAACTGGCCCACCTCATACCCTTTAGGATGGTTCCTAGAAAAAAAAAGAAGAAGAAGAAATTGGAACCCTTGTGGTCTGTTGATGGGGATGTAAAATGGCTTGGTTGTTGTGGAAAACAATACTGCAGTTCCTCAGGAAATGAAGGCTAGGACAATCATATGACCCAAAAATTCTACTTCTGGGTATATACCCAGAATTGAAAGCAGTTTGTACACATGTGTTCATAACCACACTTTACACAATAGCTAAAATGTGAAGCAAACCCAAGTGTCCAACAGATGAATGAGTAACAAAATGTGGTGTGTGTTGTACACACACACAAACACATACATAAACAAATACTCTCACACACAGTGTATTATTTATCCTTAAAAAGGGAGGAAAATCTGACTCATGCTACAACATAAATGAACCTTGGGGATACTGTGCTCAGTGAAATAAACTAGAGAATAAATACTTGAGACTTAGTGATAGTAATTTAGAGACAGATTTCTCCAGGAGAATGCGGAAAGATCCCATAATCCCACAATGAACAAGCAAAGCTCCAGTGATAGCATTCTTGGTGGTGGACTCAGCACATGTGCTGCCCTGGCCTGTGAATCACACATCTGGGCACACTCTTGGCTTCCAGGGATCAGACTCAGCCTGATCCTCTGCCCTTGGAGGGATTAGGTTTGTCTGCTTCGGAGGAGAAAGTGGCTCTTGCTGAAGCACCTGTACTATCTGCAGCGGGAGGGGGTGGCAGTGTTACTATGTTAAGGGTGCCTATCCACAGGTTCTCTGTGTGACCTTGGAAATGAGTGCTCAGTTAAAATCCCAGCCATTTACCTTTCTAACGGAGTATCATGAACCCTCTTTGATGAGAGTCCAACTTAAGGTATGTTTTTCATGTAAAACCTAGAGACAGTATCAGAAGACTGAGCGCAATAAAGGTAGAGAGGGGTGGAGGTGTTGGCTGTCTCCATTTCATGTCAGGAAGTTAATGTTTGATGTACTTGTTTCTTGTCCCATGTGAAGGTCTCTCTAGTTTCCTCATCCCGGTCGCTGTCTCCACACCAGCAATTCCCCAGGCAGGCGAGTGAGGCCAGCATCTCCCTAAGGACCTTGGACAGCAGCATGGCACCCCTGGCTGATTTTGATTACCCCCCGGAATTCTCTTCCTGCCTGGACAACTCTGCTGCTAAGCACAAGCTCCTGGTTAAGCCCCGCAACCAGCGGTCAAGTAAAATGAGGCGACTGTCTTCGGTAACTGGGCTCCTTCTTACACTCAGGGGTGGGGGCGGGCAAGTTTGGCAACCCATCCCTTTCCTCACCTGGCTCCCCTCAGGATCATGCTTTTTCTGTAAGAATCCCCTAACAGGAAGACCATGATGTGGTAGCTGGAGCCATTAGTGTTTTTCCAAACAAATCAGTTAAGTCTCTCTCCTGTGTGAACACTCCATTCATTCATGTATACAGACACCCATTTGTTCATCCTACAGTAGTTATCAAGAACCTGACATATGCTGTAGGTCTGTTACCTTCCCATTGCCCTCACTGTAAAGGCTAAACTCAATACCTGGCAAGATCAGGCCCCCTCTCAGACTTCCTCTTGTTCTTTCTCACTCAACACAGTTTGGCTTCTTGAGCCCTCCGGGCTTTTCTACCTTTAGCCTTGGCTCCTGTTGTATCCCCTCTGCAGATGGCTCGTTTCCTGGCTGACTCCATCGCAGGCCCTGGGCTCTCGGTTCAGGGGTCCTCCCCTAGAAAGGCTTACCTGACATCCCAAGGAGAGCAGTCCCACCTTCCTGTCACCATGTACATTTCCCTCATAGCACTGGGCACACACAGAGGTGACCTCTGTAACATATGCACTCACTTGCTCAGTAACAGTCTTCTGTAAGTCCCCATTCCAGCCCCCAAACAGTACTAGTTACAGAACTGGCATTCAGTAAACACTTTTTGAGTGGGTAAGTGAATAAACAAACATGTGGACTGATGAATGAGTGAATGGCAGAGGAAGCTGAGCACTGGAGTGGATATCTTCCTGGGACAAGAATCTACTTTGTACAGGATCATTCCCCCGTGAGGAGACCTTTATTCAGGCATGCATCTGGGAGCAGTCGTGACCTTTAGTTGTGGAGTATTTTGGCCCCTTGGTGCCAGTGGGTTTGAGGTCACACCCTACCTTGTGGTGTCTACAAGGTTTACCCCTGAAGGAGCTCAGTTGCAGTGTATGGGGTTAGCATGGTTAGAGAGAATGATGGTACCAGGAATGAGATGCTCACACACCAAACTTCTTTCCTTCCTTCCCGCAAGATAGGATTATGATGTTGAATGAAGTACTCAGGATAACTAGGTGCTTCAGCTGCAGACAGTGGGCTGGTGTCTTTCAAGCTGACAGGGACTCCCTGGAGAAGAAGGGTGGGTTTTCTTTGGAACAAAGAAGATGATTTTTTAAATTCACAACAGAAAGGTTGATTTTGGAGGGGATCAACACCAGAGAAGGAAGTGGCTGTGGTTACCTTCATTCTGATGTGCCCTTGTACAAGCTAGGGACTAGTGTTCATGCTCTTGCATCCAGTGCATTTAATGTTAAAGGCCTGAGACTTCGGGGATTTGACAAGGTCCAAACCTTCCTTTCCTTATGCTGAACACAAGGCAGGGCCACACTGGCTCACTCTGGCTCTCCAGCCTGGGTTTTATTCCATGGGGTGGGGGGTAGGGGTGCTTTTGCCCCAGCAGGGATATGTATGACCAACCACAACCTGGCCAATACTTGGGGACCACATCCCTCATCTTCCAGGGTGAAAATGAGCCTTTCCTCACTGCCCTGAGGCAGTACTGTACTTCTTTTTTCCTTGCTGTCAAACTTAGCTCTGAAAGTTCATTTTTTTCAATAGCAAAAAATATAATGTAGTCAGCCCAGGTAAACACAGTCATTCCTTGATTTAAACTCTGCTGGTTCATATCTTCCCTCATTTTCCTTCCTTTCTTGGTAGGGAGAAGACATAGTTTTAGGGGACATCCCTATTTTCCTGGTTGGGCAGACCTATCAGACTCTGTCACCAGTGTCATAGTTGGGCCCTTATTGGAGAACTTTGTCCTTCAGTGTTGATGGCCCCCTTTGCCTTAGGTCATGTGGTTCCTCACTCAGTCCTGAGGACCTGGCACCCTGGGCTCTCTCAGGAACCAAATTGCTTTCAGATGAGCCAGTCCTGCTTCAAGGGTGGGGAGGAGCCACCAGGCTGCCCTCTCTGCTGCCCTCCTGACTCTGGGGACTTTTTCAGGTATTCTCTGTCCCTGTGGGCTTCACTGGGCAGTGAGGTCCAGTTTCCCCCTACCTCTGATCCCCTGTAACATCTGGGGTTTTGTTCTCTACCTGCTCACACTGCTTGCACCCCTGGATCAGGTATCCTCAGAGTCTCCACTTTCGTTACTTCCTGCTGCTGCCTAAGTTCTTTCTTCTGTTTGGACCTAACAGCTGGCCTTGTCTAGCCAGGCATCTTCCCCCAACTCTCCACACTAAGTAACTCATCAGAGATGAGTTTGACTAACCCTGCCCCCACCAAAGCAGAAGTTGAGAAACAGAAACAATGGTTGTTCTCTTGGCATTTTACCCCACTGCACAGAACTCTGCCTGTGTGTGGCTCCAGCTCAGTAGAGGGGGTATGCCTGAAACAGTCCCAGTCCTCTCACTACACCAGATGGTCCTCAGCCCGACTCAGGCAGTGCCGGTGCAGGGAACGTTATTATATTTTAACAGGACCAGCATGATGAGACCATGATCCAGAGATCATGTGGCTGGCCAAGCCGCCAGTAACAACTCTCAATTATTAGATGATAACAGATTCCTCCTCCCCACCCAAGTGGCTCACTGGGAGGGTCCCTATGCAGAGATGAATGGACACTGTCCCACGATACTGTCTGGCCAGAGGAGGCAGCTGTGGTCTAGCCTGCACCTTGGTGCAGGCCTGGCAGGCCCCTTGCATTTTTTTTTTTTTTAACTTGGGAGGGTTCCAGGTTGTGAAGCTGCTTAGAGAATCCAGACAAGGAAAAGCAGGAAGACTAAGGATGTGAAGTAGACATAGGAATCTTTCCTGCTACTCCCAGCCAGAGAGCCTGGCTGAGTCAGAATCCCCTTTTTTCTCTGCAAGGCCTCTGCTTCTGAGTCCGTCCTGTGGATGATGCCTCATGCCAGCCCGCATCCTGTCTATACCTTTTCTGTTACTTTCTTATAGCAGCCAGTGACTCTCTTGGAGCTTTGGGATGTGCCCACATAGGTCTATTTTTCAGCTGCCTGATGACTTTAGTGCAGGTCCCAGTCATGTTAAAATGTGATTCACATCCTAAAGAGGTTTCAACATCAGTGACTTCTTATAGTAGCAAAAGGCCAAAGGTAGCAAAATCAAGAAGCTGCAGCTTTTGAAATTTGTTCATAGATTTCTTTGCACATCTTTTTACATCCAAAGGAGCGGGGTTGTGTGTTTTGGAAAGAGTTAGTTTAGTTATTGTCGAAAACATCCCATTTATCCTGCCTTCTGTTAGCAAGCCAATGCCACCTGGAAAATGTTAAAACAGTGATAGCAACAGCAGAAATATTTTGTGAAAACTCCCTTGAGAGTCACGTTCCCTAAAAATGGGGAGAAAGGGAGAGTTGCAATAGCTTGGTAACTCTCCAGGTTTTCATGTCATAAACTTAAAAAAATCAACATCAAACTTGATCGTTTTCACATTGCTTTTGAATGATTCATCTGTACCTTGATAGCCTTTCCTTTCTAAGAGAGGAGCTGTCTTTGTGTTCCTGTAAAGTAGGAATTCTGACTAAATCTGAATTCCAGAGACCATTTAGAAGAAAAATACTGCAAGGAAGAATATGATTGTTAGCCAGGAGAGAAGGGAGAGCCCCTAGCTGTATGGAACAAGCAAGGTTTCCTGTAGAAGGGGCGTTTGAGATAGTCCTTGTGGGTGCTGGTAGAGACATGGGGGGGGCGGGTACAGAGCAGCAGCCAGGCACTCGGGCCCAGAGTCCAGCACTTACAGTGTGGTCGCTTAGCTCAACCTCAGAAGGGAATGGGGAAATCATTTCATACCAGCGTAGAGGACTTTAAATTTAGCTGGGAGGAAAGAGCACTGAAGTGGGGGATCAGCTCTGGGTCAGCACAGGGTCAAATAGTGCACCAGGTTTTCAGCAAGGCTACCTTGAGCTCAACCATTACCAAGGTGTGGCTCTCCCTGAGCTCCTATTTCTTCACGTGCAAACAGGGAGTAACACAGGCACACCTTAGCTCTCAGGGTCACTTCCAGCACTTTACAATAAAACAAATCACCTGAAGTTTTTGATTTCCTACTGCATATAAAAGTCATTTACCCTGTACTGTAGTCAGTCAAGTGTGCAGTAGCATTATATGTAAAGACAAATACACACCTTGATGTGACAGAGACGCAAAGTAAGCACATGTTGTTAGAAGAACGATAGTAATAGCCTCCTCAACGCAGGGCTACCACAGCCTTCAATTTGTAAAAAGTGAAATATCTGCAAAGTGCTATAGAATGGGCCATGTCCATAATCCTTTTCTCACAATCTGGGGTCCAGGTTGCAGGCCAGGAGTAAGTGAAATAACCAGCATAGATAGAGTGCAGAGCACAGCAGATGCCTGGCTGTGTTGGTCCCCTCCCCTCTGCTGCTCTGTAGAACGGCCTCCACTGGTTTTGTGGCTTGGGCACTAGGACCTTAGGTGACATTTATTTTACAGGCATAACTGCCACTGTTCTGCAGAAAGCTGGACTTGTGAGTTGGGTTTCCAAATAGATCATTAAAGAGAGATTAAGAAAAGATGCCCATGTGTGAATGTCTGCTTATGTGCTGACTTTGGAGATACACTGCTTCATTTAAACCACATTAAACCTTGAACAAAATGGGAGGTCATCGCCTTCCTCAGATTCGACATAACAGTGCTGTCTTTTATCTTCCCAATTTCTCGTAGCGAGCACAGTCTGAATCCTTGAGTGACCTGACATGCACCCCAGAGGAGGAGGAATATGATGAGAAGCCATTATTGCAAGCCAGTGCAGAAGAAAAGCCCAGTTCCGGACAGCAGGATGTGGTGCTAGAGAGGGGCCCGGCGCCTGGGGAAGCAGTGACTGCGCTGCTGCCCATGGGGCCCCGGGCTAGAAGAGCACGCCTGCAGCACTGCCCAGCTCTCAGTGCCAGTGCTGAGGAGGAGGGCATCCTTGAGGTCAGCCCCTCCAGCCGCCCGGCCACTCCAGAGCCCTCTGAGCCTGGGGGTCTCTGCTCGGAGTCTTCATCTCTTCCAGAAGGCTCCCTGCACCCTCATCCTGACAGTGAAAATCAGAGGGAGGAGCTGCCCCTTGAAACCACATGTTCCCCAGCTGGGGAGACAGTTGATGAAGTGGCTTGTGCTTCTGGAGACGTTGAGAGTCGGTCCTCCCCCTGCATCCCTGAAGGGGACATGACACCTCCCAAGAGTGGTTCCACCACCACCTTAGAGATTTCCTCTGGTCCAGACATGCCAGACCAAAATGTCCAGAAGGAGGAGGAGCTGACTCTGGAAGTACCCGGTCCCACAGGAACAGAAAAAGAACCCTCTGTGGCCCCAGCCCAGAGCCCAGCAGTTCCCAAGAGCTGCTTGAAGCACAAGACTGTGGCCGTGACCGTGAGCCTCAGCGCATCTCCCACACCTCCTACCTTAGAATCCCCAGCAGAGGAGCCCACTCCCTGTCCCCTGGACAAAGAGGCCACCCCCCCAGAGTCCTCCAAGGATGAGCAGACAGAATCCCCCAAGACTGAGCAGGTAGAGTCCCCTCAAGAAGGACCTGAGAGGGTGACCCCAGAGCCAAAAGTGGAAAGAGGGGCCCGTGAGCTGCGAAGTATGAAAAAATTTTCTGTGTCCTCAGGCCGGGTAAGGCTGCACACTGGCAGTGCCCACATGCTGGAGCCCTCGGGCCCCTCTGCTGTCCGACTGCCCCTCGTCCATAGCAGCCTGGCCTGGAGGAGCGAGGCAGCACTTGACGACCTTCGGGTACTTCCAGAACCCCAGGACAGGAAGCTGGCCCCTCAGAAGCCACCCTCACCAGCTGAGAGCAGCCCTCAGAACTCAGGAGATAAGGTGGCCAGCCAGCCCGGGCCAGGCAGGAACCCCCGAGATGCAGGGTCCACGCCAGGCTCAAGAGACCCGTGCCCAGCTGCTCAGGAGCCGCCCCCATGTGAGGATAGAAGTCCCTTCCCTGTCAAGCTGCGGTCCACCTCTCTCTCTTTCAAGCACAGAGATGTGTCTTCTCCAGAGGTAAAAGGGGTAAAGAGATACAGTGCTGAGGTCAGGTTAGAAAAAGGAGGACTGGCTTTGCTCTCAAAAGACGAGAAATGCCAGATGGGAACAGCTCCAGCCACTCGAGGTGCCAGATCCCCGAACGACCAAAGAAAGGGAAAGCCAGTCCGGCCATCGGAGCCACACAGCTCCAAACCACCCCTGCCTAGAAAGCCACTTCTGCAGGCCCTCACCCTCCCACAAATGCCAACACCCCCTGACACGAGCTCAGAAGAGCCACCAGAGAAAGTCACACCGCCGCCAGACCCCAGAAAGGAGAGTCGGACAGCAGAGAAGAAGTCACCACACAGGGGAACTGGTAAGACTGGGGGGGTATTGGAGGGTGGTCCAGGAAGGGACAGGACGTGTGGAAGTCAGAGCCCTTGGACCCTGTTGCTGGATGTCCACCTGTTGCAGGGGAATTGAAAGAAAAAGTCAAATTCCTCTTGGTATTACTAATGTGTTTGATTAAGAGTTAGGAGTAGAGTATGTAGGAGAGGCAACAAATATCAGGACTTCGTGTCAGTTCAGACAAGTTCGTGTCAGTTCAGGAGAATGTGCAGACACCTTTCAGACATATTCCCTGAGAGGAGATGGGCCCCAGTGGACTGCTCAGGTGCTTCTCCACTTTTACCTTGAAAGCTCGGAATCCAGTATTTGTGTAGTTCGTGATGGGGTCTGAGGCCATCACGGCCTAAGACACTCAGGTTATATGTGAGCCTCAGGCCTCCCATCTTACAGCATCCTTGCCCGTTCCCCTCCACAGGAGACTTTCCTCCCACTTAATAATGAGGCCCCGTGGCCCAGCTGGGCCTGTGTGATATATGAGTTTTTCAGTGGGTGAAGGGAGCACTGACTCCCTGTCCAAAAGGGAGCTCTTTTGAAGAGTAGGGCAGAATGTCAGAATTTTGTAAAGCAACTATCTTTTAAAATGAGCGGAGACAAAATAGATGATCTTTCTTTGGCTCTGACATTTGCCACTTTTTATTTATAGTGCTTCAAATGAAATGAGAAATCCGTTGGGGATGGGTATATGTGGTGGAACTAAAGAATCTTTCATTGCTGGTTTTTTATTAGTGGAAATCGGTGTACCAGAAAATGAAAGTATTGATGAGAGAGAGTGGGGAGGGGGAGAAAAAGAGGGACAAGGGACCTTAGAAGAAATTTTCCATGGGACGTTATAAATAAAGTAAAACTTTCGGGTATTTTAACTGAATACTGTATGTCCAGGCTCCACTTAAGCACTTTAGTGTGGGGAAGAAAGGAAATATTTCAATAGAACCCACTTGTTCTCCTAGGAACCTTGCAACCTAAAAGGAAGATGTAGGGCACACACAGGAGGCTTAAGTCACCTTAAACAACATGAAGACAGTTCTGATCTTGTCTTTCTCCTCCTCATGAGTTAATAAAAGTGCATTGTATGAAGCCCTTTGAGTTTTAAGGTGACACCCAAGATGTGGGCATTTCCAGGGAGAAGTGTTGAGACAGCGCATACTGGACAGGACTCAGGGTGGCTTAACCATGCCTTTTGGCAGCTGCTGCTGCAACGTCTATGTAGGGTAATTGGTGAGGGAGTCTTGGGGGAGGCAAAGGCTGTAACTGATGATCCACTCTACAATTTGCCAGCAGGGCTATTGAAGCTACTGTAGAGTGATTCGAAAAACTGGTAAAATACCAATGGAAGAGGGGGGTTTGCTCTGTGCTGATAAAACCTTGATATCAGCCCCATCAACTTCATGGCCTGGAATTGAAAATGTCTCTCAGTTGCTTGATGAATGAATGGAACTTAAACACCGGATGCCCAACTTCCTGGTCAGAGCTGGGAAAGGCTTCAGAGGGTGATGCTTTGCAACATTAATAATTTACAACTTCCTCCACCTAAGCTGTGAGTGAGGCTGTGTTCATTCACAGCTGCCTGGGGTGGTTTGTAGTTAAAGATCTAATGTTGTTGCTGTTTTTTCCTTTGATTTGTAAAGTACAATATAGTGTTCATTAATAAACAACATTAATAATAGTGTTTATTAATGACTTTGTTTAAATACTAGAAGAGAATTGTCTATCTGTATTAATAGGTTCTAAGCCACAGATTAAATGAATTCTGGAGAGGAAGTATCTAGGCTACTTCATAGGGTCTAGGGACTGATTTTCATTTCAAGGCAGAGAGAAAAGGAAGAATCACCAACATTGTGGGGGAAACACCACCCCCCCCGGCCCCCTAAGAAGGGATGGCACTGGAGAGGACCAGCCACAGCCATGGCCTGGTCCCATGCAGACCCCATCAGTGGAACTGCTCTTACACCTTCCCCAGACACTGGATCTGTTTGTTTTAATTCATTATTAGTACTTCTATTATCATCCTCATTGCTTCCAAATTATAGCAGCTAAAGACAATTAAAATCGTATAAAACAGATAATAAAAGTTTTAATAACAGTCTTACCCCGTTTCCCAGAAAGGCCTAATTACTGCTATCTATTATCTTGGGCTGGCAGGCATTTACCCAGAGCTCCGGGTGGGCTGCCATCTCCCCGTCTCTCTCCTAGGGGTACACTCCATAAAGCTGGGTTATTGAAGAGTCTCAGATGGGCTCATGCTATGGCCTGGGAACTCAAGCTGCTTTATCCCAGCCCTCCTGTGTATTCCTCCTCTTACCCCACCCTGTCTTCCCTTTTGAGGGCATGGAGAAACCCTTCAGTGAGAAAGGCGAGAATTTAATGGTTTTACAGTAAACAGAGGAGCCCAGCTACCTGAGAGAGGTCTGGCTCACAGAGCCACCACGGGGTGGTTACTGCAAGTCCAGCAACATGTTTGTGTTAATCTGCTCATTTGCTATAGGAGGCCAATGGCTCAGGGTTATCTGTCAGTCTTGTCTATTTGTACAGACAAGGACCATTCTCTTGTTAGACCAGCCTATCACCCCAGAGTCTACATTGCAGTTCAGGAAGCAGCTTCCTTCACAAGGAATCTGAACTGAAACAAAAAAGAGATTCTTGTGTAGGGAAATACAGATTTGGAGAGAAAAAAAATCACTTATGATTCCACACTCTAGATGTTCTCTCTGTTGGTCTATGCTTCTAGTCTTCTTTCTATCTGTGTATGTGTTGTGTGGAATTTGTTCTTTATGTAGGTTTGGTTACATGTTGGACAATTGCCATTTCTCAGTCAGGGGTCATTTGATAATCCATCTTGGCCACATTCCAAGCTCATTCCCCCAAGACTGGACTCATGGCACAGTGACACACCCTGGTCTCTGACCCTCTTTCTCTAGATTCTAGTTATTCATTCATTCGGATGTTTCACTCTTTCAACACTCAGTGAATGCCTGCCACCAACACAGCTCTGTGCTGGCCCCAGAGGCAAGCCGAGGGCTCACTCTGGTTGGCTTGAGGAGGCAGGTGCCTCTGGATACTATGGGACAGTGGAGACAGATGCCCATCTTACTTTGGATGTTGGGGTTTCTTTCTGGAGGAAATGAACTCAAAGAGATTGTTATCTTCTCTCCACTTAGGGAATTCAATTTCATTTAAGTAGAATATAGGGAGGGTTTGGTATCACAGTAAAAATATATCTTGAGTTCTTAAAAAACCAACTATAGGGCTCTCCCTGGTGGCGCAGCAGGTTAAAGCATAGCACTGAGAAGCTAAAGCCACTTCATCATGAATTCAGTCCCCGCCTGCCCCAGAGGTGACCCACATGGTGCGGCAGACCTCTCCTGACCCACCTGCTGCTCCCCTCAGTGGTGTACTTCGTTGATCTGCCTGTTCTGCTCCCCACTCTGTGTCTGGTGAGTCCTCTCACCACCCCTGCATCTCTGGCCTATACCCCAGCTTTGTATGCACAAATAAATAAATCTTAAAAAAAAAAAAAGACCAATTATATTCAAACCCACCTTGCTTTTTAGCCTTATCCATCCCATCACACTTCTTTCCTGAGTGAATGTGTTGATACTCTGGGCCTCAGTTTCCTTACCTTCCCTGTGCCCTTCTCACTGTCTCTATCTTTGCATCTTTGCTGGCCTCCCACTACAGCAACTTATCTTCAGTTCCCCTGCATAGGACACATCACAGCTTCCCACCTATTCCTGACATCAGCTCCTCTGTCTATGACAGTCAGCCCCTAGCCCTTTGTGGGCAACCATGATTTGACATGTCAGTATTTAGATCATGTCATTATTCATAATTCAGTGCATCAGTACCTTCTCCCCCGGTTCCTTTTCTTCTGAATAGCCCGCGTCCAGATACTCAAGCCAAAGATCTCAGGTCATTAAAAATATCTTAATATTGGCCCTCCCTGGTGACGCAGCGGGTTAAAGCACAGCACTAAGAAGCTGAAACCACTTCCGCATGAGTTCGATCCCCGCCTGCCCCGGAGGTGACCACATGGTGCGGCAGACCTCTCCTGACCCGCCCGCTGCTCCCCTCAGCAGTGTACTTCGTGGATCTGCCTGTTCTGCTCCCCACTCTGTCTCTGGTGAATCCTCTCACCCTTGACATCTCTGGCCTATACCCCAGTTCTGTATGAATAAATAAATAAATCTTAAAAAAATATCTTAATATGAAAAATACTGAATGGCCTAAAAGTTATAGAATAAATCACCTTGTAATCAAGCTGATGCCATAGCTTAAACAGTTAGGTAAAGAAACTTACAGTTCTGACTAAGTGCAGTAAACACATAACACTAATTAGCTCACCTACTAATAAAAAACGCATAAAGTGATTTTTAAGGGACTCTGAAAGGTGGCAAGAGTTGGTGAACTGGGCAGTGAGATCAGGAACCTTGAGATGACCTAGCAGAAAGTACTAGCTAGCAGTGAACAGTCCTTTCTGTCCTGTCTCTGGTACCAATTTATAAATTCTAGAATTATAACTGTAATCTGTACCTTTTGACTGCCCTTATCCACCCATCACCAGTCTATTATAGTTTCTGTATCTCTGAGTGTTTTTTAATTTCCACTTATAAATGAGATCAAACAGTATTGGTCTCTGACTTATTTCATTTAGCATAATGCCCTCAAGGTCCCTCCATGTCGCATATGGTAAGATTTCCTTCTTTTTATGACTGACTAATATTCTTAATATAAACATGTCATATTTTCTTTATCCAATGATTTGCTAATGACTGTCTCCTTGTCTGCACCATTGTCAACAATGTTACATTGAATATGGGGTAGCCTGTGTCTTTTCAAAATAGTGATTTTGTGATCTTCCTATAAATAGCCAGAAATGGAATTACTGTATCATTTGGTAGTTTTATTTTTACATTTTTGAGTAACCTTCAAATTTTTTCCAGCATGACTATACTAATTTACATTTATATGGAC